CATGCCGTTAATTCCACTGGTGGATGTTGGACCAGGATGCAGTAGGTGGTGTAACTTTCTAGTGTATTGCTTACTGGTGCAGTCATCTTGAAAATGGTGCACCGTAGTAAGAGCTTTGGATAATTGTTGTGCTCCTGTGTTGTCTTTCACCCAAGGTTGTCTTTCACTGAAAGCATACGTAATCTGGAAGCAGACAAATGTTTAGCCATGATGTTGTTGCTTTCATTTGGTCGTCTGACAATCTCTCTTTCAGAAGTTTGATGCTCTCGGATTGTTGTTGCTTCCGTTTGGTCATACCATTCTGTCCGAACAGGGTGGGCCATTGGCGACCCTCCCTCTCGTAGTGGGTTCGCTGGAAAAGGAGACACTGCAGCCATGCATCAGCGATGTGTACGTCTCAGCAGCCGCTTCCATGCTGTCCGCACCTCTGCTTCGGGTTATTGCGAGGGCTCTTCTTCACCCAGGGAATATGGTAAGTGCACGGCGCCTGACACATTACGATGGCAAGTTCCGCTGGTTGTATCTGGGGCACACCATCATGGTTTTCAAGTATGTCAAATACTACTCCCTATTCAAATTCCCTCTTGCCATGCACACATGTGCTTGCCAGAGTGGTGCAGTAGTTGCTCCGTATTGCACATTGCTACACAGGTGAGACATTGCCCTCCCTGTCACACAGGCATGGCCTATTCGGCAAATGGTGTATGTGTCGTACCAATGAACGGATATCGCTAGTCTCAAACCAATCACTGTTTTTGCAGTGACCACTTTCTTTTGGCATTGTCTTCCCTTGGGAGGAATTCGCCAGTGGAAGACGTCTCTTGTTTCATCGCTTGGTACTTCAGGTTAGTACTTCACTCATTGGTTCACTTTTGCTTAGCAAATAGTACTAAACCAGTGACATTTACTGCTTCAGTCGGAGTTTGTAATTCACTGATTTCACTAAGAACTGGATGTGGAATCCTCTGAAATGTATGGGACTGCTTCTCTGTTGAATGGGATGGGGGTGCAGGATGAAGTGGCTCGGATCAACGCTCCTCGGTTGTTGGCTCATCTTCTCTCGCATGTTCTGACTGTGCCGGCTGCGGCAGACCATCACCACTCGGTCTCCTCCAGCGCAAACAGTGCCAAGAATGAGAAGCGGGATGAAGAGATGGTGGTTGCTGTCATTTCGCTCGTCCAGGCATCCAAAGCAAATGAGGTAAGCGGATCATCTGTTTTGAAGTTGTCTCGCACTCCCCATACAGTTCTCTTATGCTGCCAATATTAAAATAGGACTGTCATTTATTTCATTGCTATTGCTAGTACTTGTTCCACACCCCTGGCTTTCACTGCTGACTACCACTGCTCATTGTATTGCCACTGCCACAATGTCCATCCGCAGCCTGTTTTCTTTCTCCCCCACCTCCTTTCATCGCTCTCTCTTGTTGCCCATTGGTTCTTGGAGGTGGAAAAGGATGCACTCAAGACTCTAAATTTTCTACCAGGTGTGGAGGCTCGAATCCTCTCTCTACGTCAAACAACAAGATTACGAATGAGGTTTACTCCAGGTCAGGCAATGAGATTAATAATAATTTACAATTGCGAATGAGGTTCACTTTCCCCTGCCTTGTCAGTAGTGCTATACAACGAATGATTGACCATGCATCAGCATCAGGTCAGCTGTCATTCTGTTCATGTGTTAAAAGAACAGACCTTGTTTGTATGAATGGCCTAGTTTGTGCTGGATGGGGACAAAAGTAGCAATAGTGGGGCCAGACGCTCAACCTCAGTAACAATCAGCACTTTTGGCTCTACATCTTGTTGATGGGTACTATAATTCGAGGGGTGGACTCTACTCATTTGAGAATCTCTGTGACCAAAGTTGCAATAGTGGGGCCTGGCCCTCAACCGCAGTAATAATCAGTGCTTT